CCAGTCCTAGTGTGTCTCTGTTTTGTGCAGAGGTGTTATGGAACTGCTCACCACGGCTCCATCAAGGTGACCAGAAACCAAACCAAACACGTCGAAGGTGAAACCGAAGTCCACCATCGTCCCAAAAGGGGATGGGTTTGGAATCAGTTCTTTGTTTTAGAAGAACATATGGGACCAGATCCACAGTATGTTGGAAAGGTAAGTTTTTGTTTGTTGCTTTGTTTTTTCCGGTTCTGAGAATTTCTGGGGGTGAGATGAGGATGGAGTTGGGTTCAATCTGAAGAGATGTGGAAAATGAAATTAATTATTTATGGAATGCAGTTACTTGTGCTAGATAGTTTAAAATAATGATTGTAAAAAGTGAACTTTAACAGTCTTATCACATCTCCCTAAACATTGGTCCACACAAACTGGCCTGAATGTTCTTTACAATATATTATTCTTTCTGTTCTCTCATGCAAAATGAAAACCCTTAATTGAACACATAATAGAGTTATTTTATCTTTATTATCATGAAGATAGAATGGAATTCACACAGTCGTTTATTGGTGCATTGGTAATTATAAAAATATTTTATCTATAGCTAATGCAGCTAAAAAGAGGCTAAAAAGAAGACATTCTTTCATGATACCTAATACACATCTATTAATTGTTACAGAGAGTGTATTTGAATTTAAGTGATCTTTTAAAAGAATATAGATATTTTTCCAATTCTCCAAATCAATTTGAATAAAAATGCTGATATACTTTAAGTTTAGACTAACAATACACATACTGTTTTGTTAAAATATAAGAAGGTTGAAGGTATAAAATGATCAGTAACTTCCTACCAAATTCCCTTTCTCTCAAAAATGCAAGACAATTTAATGTTTTTAACAAATTGTTTGCTCAGGAATAAGGGACAGCTTAAGCATGTATCATTGAGGCTTTATGTTAGAGAATAGAGTGGGAAGTGGAAAGGCCTTTCTTTTTCTGATAAATTATTGATTGTTGGAAGCAACCAGACTTCATTTGTTCAGTACCTTTGAGAGAAACAGCAAGCACAGAGGTAGAATCTCCATAACTGCAGGCTCAGTAACTTCCATTTCCCTCCCTGGCTATTTATTTTCACTTTAGCTCTGTTAGTACTGAAAAAAAATAATAACACTACATCTAAGCTATGGTGCTTCCCCAACGTGTAGGCAGTACAGGATTACAAGCCATCTGTTCTACCCTTCATCCAATAGGGACTGGGTTGCAGCTGTATTTTCCATGCAAGGCAGGAGCTCTGAAGCCAGAATATGGGAACACAAAGATCTGAAACAATTGTGTCATTTTGTTATATGCATATTGAAATGAAACCAAAAATCCTCATCATGATCATGTACTTTTTTCCTTACAAAGAATTCCATGAAGTAAATGGGAACAAATGTACTAAAATAAAAACATAATATTTTAAATTACCAGGAAGTTATTTTTGTTCAGAACTTCAAAATTATTTTTCTATAATCCTTTTAATCCTTAAAAAGGAGAATAAAGATGAACAGAAAAATATATTCTTTTAGGAGTACACCAAAGGAAAAATTTTTCAGTAAGAAAAATAGTTTCTTACACATATTTCTTGTCATTTTAACAGGAAAACAAAAACAAAATTTGCTAGAAAAGTGTCGGGAAAGATCAGACAACTATTTCCTCCTAGTTTATAGTAAAAGATGAAGCCTCAATAGGTAGATCAATTTCAAGCAATCATTCTGGGATGGCCTGTCCATTAACATGGTGGGGAGTTGTTACCCATAGGTTTTTTGAATTGCTTAATTTAAATCAGTGAAAAATAAATCTTCTGAGATGCTTAAAATGAAATCCTAATTCTAATCCGATATAGTTCTTGCCCAACTGGCAAAGTAAGCATTATTATTAACACTAATTTATAGGGAGACATCCTAATAGAGAAAACACTTTGCTCTGGGTGACACACATCTGCTATTCAGTATAAGCATTTTTTTCTCAATTGTATAAAAGAATTATGCTATAACTGATTATATTCAGTTTTTAAAAATCATTTATATTGTCATGTCAACCATCTTATAGTTCACTCAGATCTACATTTCTGTTTGTGCTCATTTATAAGGGTGAATTTTATGGAATGAGAAGGTGATTCATCTGATATTTTTTACTAGATGGAAAAACTATAACATTAAATCAATAAAATGTTTCTAAATACATTGAAACACACATATGTATTGAAGCACAGATATGTAAGAATACAGCAAAACTTGCTACACAATTTCATGTGTTTTCAATAAGCTAATTATTTCAGTCACCCTTTTCTCTCCCAAGCCCTATCTTTGTGTTCCTGAAATGTTTAAGTTTTACTTTATTATCCATTTGTACTAAAAGTTAAGTCCAAATCCTCAGTACTTCTTATTTGAAAGTCATAACATTCCTCCTCCCCTTTTTATTTTTTGACACCATTCCTCTCTTCCCTGTAACTTTCTTTACGTAGCTGCTAGGATTACGTGTAAATCTATTCCCATGCCTTAATATCTGTCTTGCCTTTATGTGAAGACCACGTCCTAGGCTACTATCTCCAGGACTAACAAAATCTGTGCAAACTATGATTCAACTAACTGATGCCCTTACTCTTATTCAAGTGTTTTGATATGACTCCTAAGTATGGAGTAACTTTCAGTTGCATAAATTTTTTTCAGCTATCTTCTTTTCCACTATGATTTATTATCTTCTGTTTTACTTACTGAGCAATTCAAGTACCTACTTGACTGTTGTGATGCTCTATGGGAATATTTTTTTGACGTTCAATGAGTCACATATAGTAGGAAAAAATGTGTAGTATATATAGTGAATTTATATAACATCTAACAAAACCGAAATGAGCACTTTGCATGGAGTCCCTAGTATGTCATCTATTGTAAGGGATCAACTATGCTCGGGCATGTGCACATATTCACGGTCATTTCTTAGCCTTCTGCACTCCTGAGGGCTGCATTTCTGTTGTTTTAAAGTATATATATAAACATATATACATATATACTTATATACATAAAGTTTATTTTCAAATGTAAATGTATATGAATATATAGCAGGTTGTGTGTGTGTGTAATTGAGAACAAACAGTACAGATAGGGAAGCCCATGTAAAAATGTGCGCAGGCTTATGCATGACTTTTTTGAATGTACATTCAAAAGAATTTGCATATATTCTTTGCCTATCAGCATCACACTGCAAAATAATATAATTTGCTTTCAGAGCAAACACTTAAAACTACTATGTTTTATGTATGATTTGTCTCTTTCCATTAGGTGGAAATGATTGCCTGTGTTCACCTACTGTGAAGACGTGGAATCAGACAACTACAGCTTTGATTCTCCAAGTGTTTCAGGATGTAAATGTAGTCTGACCTTTTCCTGATGGACAGTTAAATCATGGACACACTAAACAATTTACTTTGGACCGTCCTTCCAAAAGATGCTTTGGCTTCTCTCTTGAATGCTCACTAAGCATTTGTAGCTGACAAGGAAAGGAAAGAAAACTAAACTGGAAAGTTATCTTACAATGAAAATTACGAGCACAACTTGCATCTGCCCAGTCCTAGTGTGTCTCTGTTTTGTGCAGAGGTGTTATGGAACTGCTCACCACGGCTCCATCAAGGTGACCAGAAACCAAACCAAACACGTCGAAGGTGAAACCGAAGTCCACCATCGTCCCAAAAGGGGATGGGTTTGGAATCAGTTCTTTGTTTTAGAAGAACATATGGGACCAGATCCACAGTATGTTGGAAAGGTAAGTTTTTGTTTGTTGCTTTGTTTTTTCCGGTTCTGAGAATTTCTGGGGGTGAGATGAGGATGGAGTTGGGTTCAATCTGAAGAGATGTGGAAAATGAAATTAATTATTTATGGAATGCAGTTACTTGTGCTAGATAGTTTAAAATAAAGATTGTAAAAAGTGAACTTTAACAGTCTTATCACATCTCCCTAAACATTGGTCCACACAAACTGGCCTGAATGTTCTTTACAATATATTATTCTTTCTGTTCTCTCATGCAAAATGAAAACCCTTAATTGAACACATAATAGAGTTATTTTATCTTTATTATCATGAAGATAGAATGGAATTCACACAGTCGTTTATTGGTGCATTGGTAATTATAAAAATATTTTATCTATAGCTAATGCAGCTAAAAAGAGGCTAAAAAGAAGACATTCTTTCATGATACCTAATACACATCTATTAATTGTTACAGAGAGTGTATTTGAATTTAAGTGATCTTTTAAAAGAATATAGATATTTTTCCAATTCTCCAAATGAATTTGAATAAAAATGCTGATATACTTTAAGTTTAGACTAACAATACACATACTGTTTTGTTAAAATATAAGAAGGTTGAAGGTATAAAATGATCAGTAACTTCCTACCAAATTCCCTTTCTCTCAAAAATGCAAGACAATTTAATGTTTTTAACAAATTGTTTGCTCAGGAATAAGGGACAGCTTAAGCATGTATCATTGAGGCTTTATGTTAGAGAATAGAGTGGGAAGTGGAAAGGCCTTTCTTTTTCTGATAAATTATTGATTGTTGGAAGCAACCAGACTTCATTTGTTCAGTACCTTTGAGAGAAACAGCAAGCACAAAGGTAGAATCTCCATAACTGCAGGCTCAGTAACTTCCATTTCCCTCCCTGACTATTTATTTTCACTTTAGCTCTGTTAGTACTGAAAAAAAATAATAACACTCCATCTAAGCTATGGTGCTTCCCCAACGTGTAGGCAGTACAGGATTACAAGCCATCTGTTCTACCCTTCATCCAATAGGGACTGGGTTGCAGCTGTATTTTCCATGCAAGGCAGGAGCTCTGAAGCCAGAATATGGGAACACAAAGATCTGAAACAATTGTGTCATTTTGTTATATGCATATTGAAATGAAACCAAAAATCCTCATCATGATCATGTACTTTTTTCCTTACAAAGAATTCCATGAAGTAAATGGGAACAAATGTACTAAAATAAAAACATAATATTTTAAATTACCAGGAAGTTATTTTTGTTCAGAACTTCAAAATTATTTTTCTATAATCCTTTTATTCCTTAAAGAGGAGAATAAAGATGAACAGAAAAATATATTCTTTTAGGAGTACACCAAAGGAAAAATTTTTCAGTAAGAAAAATAGTTTCTTACACATATTTCTTGTCATTTTAACAGGAAAACAAAAACAAAATTTGCTAGAAAAGTGTCGGGAAAGATCAGACAACTATTTCCTCCTAGTTTATAGTAAAAGATGAAGCCTCAATAGGTAGATCAATTTCAAGCAATCATTCTGGGATGGCCTGTCCATTAACATGGTGGGGAGTTGTTACCCATAGGAGGTGGTGGAAATCTGTGAAGCTGTCCAAGTTTATAGAGTTATCTGTGGCAACTGCTATCTGTCCTACTGTTTACAGTATTCATGTAGAAATATAAATACCCGAGGATGTGGTTATCTTAATCTCTGCCCAACCCTGGTCCCTACCCAGTCTCTCTACTCTATTCTAATCTGCCTTTATGAGCAATTCTAACTTAATTGTACATCCTACCACTCACCTGTCACCCCATAATGTATGCATATATACATACACACCTGTGAAAAATTTTTAAAAGACTGAAAATCTCAACCACCCATACATGTGTAAGACACTGCCCTCTGTCCCATTATTTTAATTTGTTCAAGAAGTTAATTTATGTCTCATACTTACAAATATATTCATAATGAATCAGCCATATATTTTTGGAGCATTCCTGAATGAAACATAGAATCATTACAATTACTATGGAAATGCGGAGGGCACATGCAAGGAACCGAGATGATTTTCTTTACCCCAATCTTGTCCCCGGAATGCCAGCAGAAATGCTGTTAGCAGAAATGATTAACAATCGTGCAATGCAGCTTTTGAATTAAAATTATATTTTTGCAGATGCATTATTTTAGTTCATTTCAAATTATCCTTGAGCTATGTGTTATAATTATGAATCTGTAGTTATATTTCACCTTATAAAACTATAGTTACTGGGCTTTGGTTTAGAGTTTTTGTCTAAGTGGTTTAATACATACCAATTTGTCTTATATTGCTTTTAATTTTCTTAGCCTTTCCTTAGTCAAAGTTTGTATTATTATAAGGGAATATATTTTGTTGCTATTGGTCAATGCATGTTATTCATTAGTAAGACATTTATATGTGGCTAAGACCATTGCCATAGGGCCATTTCTAATGACAAATAGTACAACTACACATATCCGTGTATAATTTATCTACCAATTATACATGCAATTATGCATAAATACATATGTATGTATAATTGATAATCCATATTTTTTCCAGATTATTTTGGCCATGAGAAATCAAATACCAAAACTACCATGAATATATCTCATGGATTTAATCTTATGAAGTTGTTAAAAATCATTTTGCACATCTCACAGACTTGTTAAAAGATATTTTTAAATAATTAAAGGATCAGAGTAATGAAAATATAATAGCACATTTGTGAGAAATTAAGTCCTTTCCTCCTGCAACAAATTTTATGGTAATGTCATTATAGTTTTAAAACAAAATTATTCCTTTTTTTCCAAAAAATCATGTAAAAGCCAATATAGACTAGTCTGTTTTTCATTTTTCAAAAGCTGAATAATGCTGAATGAATCCCATTATAACTAAGAATGCAATTTTGTATATTACACATGTCCTAAAATTCATTCCATACATCATACCTATCATTAGACTCATTGCCTTTGTGACATAATAATGACTAGTGAGTGAAGAGCTGAATTTTAAGTTATAGCTTCTCTGCTTATTATCTGCATTACAATTGGCAAGTCTCTTTAATTCCCTGCATTTCTATTTCCCTATATGCAAAAACTGAAAAATGCTGTTTGATATTTCTACTGTTAATTCAAGCATATTACACAGTCTGGTTTATGGTTTAGTTCAGAGGTAAGTTAAACTACAGCCTATGTGCCAAATCCATCCAGTTGCATGATTTGGTATTGCCTGCATGCTAAAACATTTTTCTCTTCATTTTTAATTGTTGAAAAAGTTTCTAAAAATAATTTTGTGACACATGGGAATTATATGAAACTCAAGTTTCATTTTCCATAAAAACTGTGTTATTGGAATACAGACACACTCATGCATTTGTGTCTAGAATATGAGGCTGTTTTTCAGGCTGCAATGGTAGACTTGAGTAGCAGCAAGAGAGAGTAAGGCATGAAAATGCCAAAATATTTACTAATGACCATGTGCAGGCAATGTCTGTGAGCCCTGGTTAAGATGTCTGCCTCATCTAGCATGCTGGGAATGCTGCGGAAGCAGGTTCTGGGACTGTCTAATCTTTACATATGCAGTATCCATCTCTGTGCCTATTGTAGTGATCAAAGTGGTAATTCAGAACAGAGTGCTCAGTAAACTATAAGCTTTTGCAGCCATGGTAAGGATTGTGAAAACTATTTGAATGTTTTAAAGCAAAATTCTCTCACTAATCCTTGCTTTGTATCACCATGTTCACTGTTGTACCACTCTCCCATAGATATTTTAATGAGTTTGTTAACTCTGGTATTGTTATTTTTATTGTGTTTTTGTTGCTATTATGCTATAATGAACGAAGTTCTTGTACACACATTATTTAGCATACATATAGTCTATCTGTGTGAGAGATTTCCAGAAGTGAGGTTCTCATTCAAAGATAAATACTTTTATATGTTAGTAGGGATTATTAGATTCCCTTCCATGGGTGATGGTATTCTGCCCCTTTCTCTAGGATGCATATTGGCAAGTAGTTCTTCACAGCAGTGCCAACAGATGGGATTTTAAAACTTGGCATTTTGCAAATATGATAGGTGAAAAAGAGCATCTCTGTGCATTTTTATTTTCATTCCCTTTATTATGAATGAAATTGATCATCTTTTCATATTAGGGTGGATGCGAATGTTTCTTTTTTTATTAACTGACTCTTCACGGCCCTTGATTTATATTCTTTTGTTAGACTCTAATTTACCAATATTAGTAGTTTTCAGATAGCTAATACAAAGTTCTCTGCCAGTGACATAAGTTACCCATGATTTTTTCACAGTTGCCATTTGTCTTTTGACTTTGTTTATAATTTTTGCTTTATAGAAATTTATTATTTGAGTATACTAATTCTTGCAAACTTTTGACTGAAACTATATTGGATTCTTCTGAAATTTGAGGAAATTTGGTGTTCATAATAAGTGGCAATAGATAAAAATGCATTCCAAGGGCCTTAATGTCTATAGTTTATTATATATATTAGAAAATATTACTTTTCCAAAAATACAGTGTAAAAGTAGAATTGCTTATGTTAGAGAACAGAAATAATAACAGAATAGATTGAATTCCTATTTTTAGTCACTAGCTGTTGTCTGTTTTGCAATATATCCTAGATGTGCAGGTTGTAATTGCAAAGTGTATTGACTCTTACTATTGTATGTTAGGGATACTTAAACATATGTAATTGGTGGAATTTAACTAAGGTATACATTGTAAATAATGTCTATTAATGGGCAACTGTTGGTAGTAAGTTTCATATATTTCAAGTGCTAACTTGCTTGTGGTTAGCTAAATGTTCTCCACAAATACATATTATGTTCATTTTAATGACATTAACGAGTCAAGCATACTTACATAACAAAGGAAACACTATGGTTATTTCTGGATATGTGTAAATGGATATTGTTCACATTGCATTATTTGATAATTAAAGAGAATGGAATAAAACTTATAAATAAGAGGTA